TCGAAATAATCGCCAAGATCAACGTCATTCACAGAGCAAGGCTCCAAGTCCGACTCGTCCGTCTCTGATTTCATGACACATGTAGTAATTGGGACTCCGGATCTCTCTCTGGATCTAGTCATCCTTTTTGCTACGGGGCTCACTAAGAGGCTTGGGGTTACGTCCGTCAAAATCGAAGAGCACACCCCCAGGAGCTGAAGGTACGCGCGCAAACACCACGTACAGCCAGTCGTCCCTCCAATAACTCTCTCTGTGAAATATGTAATCAGCAATCCTGTCGTATATGGTTCCCCTCACTCCCGTCTCTGCCCCCTTTACCGAGTAGGTGATCACGAGCGTGTGTCTCGAAGTCGAGGACTCATTAGCCCTGATAGTGAAACTCTGATGTCCCACATGTCTGTAGCAGAACCTCTCAATCAATCTACCCCACTTGGGGGTAGTCTCACGACGTCGGGCCAGCTCGGATGGAATGCACGCTCTTACTGATGCAGATACTCCCTCCAACACCAGGCCGGATAGCAATCAGCAACTCAATATAAAGCCTGCCCGAATGGGTCTGACTGCACTGCAACTCGATATAGGGCCCGCCTGAATGGGCCCGACTGAACAACAACTCAATATAAAGCCCGCCCGAATGGGCCCGTCTCAACAGCAGTTGTCTCAGAAGGAAGGGCCCGCCTGAAGGGGCCTGGCTGAAAACTACAACAGAAGAAAGGGCCCGCATGAAGGGGCCTGGCTGAACATTGTAACAATCCCAAGAAATGGGTCCGCCTGAAGGGGCCCGGCTGAATCAACAAATCAATCTCAAAAAGTGGGGCCGCCTGAAGGGGCCCGACTGAACAGCAACAATCTCAAGTAGGTCCGCCTGAAGAGCCCGGCTGAATAGCAACTGATCAGTGAAACATCTTATGCACAGGGATCAGTCACAAATGTTGAATGTACTGGGGCAAGACTGAGCCAGGTCATCTGTGCAAGGACTGAACTGCCAATGCTCCCCGTGCGAGAGAAGATATCACGTGCATGAGGTGTTGCTCATCAGCAAAGGAATAAATCAACGGGAACGTGAAGGCAAATCATCCAATCTAGCAACCCTATACTCGAGGGCACATGGGCTCGCACTCAAAGGACAGCATCTAGCCTGGGCGCACACATCCAGCGCAAGTGCACATGGGCGCGCACTCAAATAACTGTATCCAGCCTGGGCGCACACGGGCGCACGGTCTAACAACAATGTCGAGCTGGAAAGCGCATGGGCGCTCGCTCTAACTGCTATGCCGAGCTAGGGCGCGCATGGGCGCGCACTCTCAAGCTTGGGCGCGCATGGGTGCACACTCTCAAGCTTGGGCGCGCATGGGCGCGCACTCTCAAGCTTGTGCGCGCATGGGCGCGCAATAGCTAGTCTGGGTGCGTGCAGGCACGCAATGAAAATAAATATCCGATCTAGGCGCGCGCCGGTGCGCACTTAAATAATAATTATCTGATCTAGGCGCGTGCGGGCGGGCACTAAAAATAATAATCTGATCTGGGTGCGCGTGGGCGCGCACATAAAATTATTATCTGATCAGGGTGCGCGCAGGCGCGCACCGAAAATTATTATATGATCTGGGCGCGCATGGGCGCGCAATGAAAGTAATTATCTAAATTCAATCTTTGCTTGGGGCCAATATACTACTGCTTGTAATAGGATGGCGTGATTACTGCGCGCAACACTTGGCCTTCTCTTAGGGCCTGACCACTATTGTCATCAAATTCAGACTAAGTACTCAGTTGGTTGGTCATGTATCATCACTCGCAACAGCGCACAGCTACGGAAACTGAAAAATGACCCTCAGTCATGGTGCGCAACAGCGCACAGTTGTGAATAGCAAAAATGATTCTCAGTTATAGTGCACAACAGCGCACAGATGTGAATAGCAAAATAATTCTTAATCTCGGTGCACAACAGCGCACGAATGCGAATGGTACAATGTTCAAATATGAGCCTGACAATATCACAATGCTCAGTAATGGCCCTGATGAATAGCACAATGCTCAGTAATGGCCCTAAGGAATAGCGCAATGCTCAATAATGGCCCTGACAAATAGCACAATGCTCAGTAATGACCCTGACGAATAAGACAATGTTCAGTAATGGCCTTGACGAATAGCGCAATGCTCAGTAATGGCCCTGACAAATAGCACAATGCTCAGTATTGGCCCTGACAAATAGCACGATGCTCAGTAATGGCCCTGACAAATAGCACATTGCTCAATAATGGTTCTGACGAATAGCACAATGCTCTAAAATGACCCTTGCGAAAATGGCTCTGTTCAGAAATAACACTCTAATATAGTGCGCATGCTGCACACAGTTGCAAGGAAAATCAGATCTTGCCCTTAAGTGCAGCGTCCAGACTGCGCACAGTTGCAAAGTCGGAAATGCGGTATACACAGTTGCCAACTCGAAAATGGCTCTCAAGTGCAATATGCACGGTTGTCAGTTCGGATATGGCCCTCAAGTATGGTATGCACAGTTGCCAACTCGGATATGGTCCTCAAGTGCGGCATGCACAGTTATCAACTTGGATATGGCCCTCAAGTATGGTATGCACAGTTGCCAAACAACGAAATAGCCCTCAAGTGCGATGCGCATACTGCGCACTCGGATAAAGCCTTTGAGTACGGTATGCACAGTTGCCAAATAGCCCTCAAGTGCGATGCGCATACTGCGCACTCAGATATGGCCTTCAAGTGCGTGCAGGGCAGATAGCACAAATGGACCTCTGATACGGTGCGCAACTGCGCATAGTGGCAAATAGTACGAATGATCGTCTGATACGGTGCGCAACTGCGCACAGTGGCTAATAGCAGGAATGATCCTCTGATACAGCGCTCAACTGCGCACAGTGGCAAATAGCACGAATGGTCCTCTGATAAGGTGCGCAACTGCGCACAGTGGCAAATAGCACGAATGGTCCTCTGATACAGCACTCAACTGCGCACAGTGGCAAATAGCACGAATGGTCCTCTGATAAGGTGCGCAACTGCGCACAGTGGCGAATAGCACGAATGGTCCTCTGATACAGCGCTCAACTGCGCACAGTGCACAGTGGCGAATAGCATGAATGGTCCTCTGATACAGCGCTTAACTGCGCACAGTGGCAAATAACACGAATGATCCTCTGATACGGTGCGCAACTGCGCACGGTGGCTAAAAGCACGAATGATCCTCTGATACAGTGCGCAACTGCGCACGGTGGCAAATGCCTCAAATGACCCTCAGATACAGCGCTCTATTGCGCATAGTGGCAAATGCCTCAAATGGCCCTCAGATACAGCGCTCGATTGCGCATAGTGGCAAATGCCTCAAATGGCCCTCAGATACAGCGCTCAATTGCGCACAGTGGCAAATGCCTCAACGTGGTACAGACTTGGTACTTAGACGTGATGTGCTAATGGCACCCAAGATCGGAGCGCAATGTCACACTTAAACTCAAGTGTGCACAGTCGCCGTTGGGTCATTATGCTGAGACATGGCAAATCATACTCTATTCAAGTGCCCATTGGCACAACTAATCACCCAGCTTAAGTGCTCGTTGGCACAACTCATTATCAAGCCCTGTTTGAGTGCCTATGACAAATCCTTGCTGAATATGGATCATGTAGCCCTCGGCGGACTCAAACCCAGACAGGGTTCACTGCATGACTCAACATTTAATGGTTTTCGTGCTCAGAGTAGTTGATCGCCCTGCACCAATCCTTAAGTGTGGTGAGCAAGGGCGCACAGTATCAACTGTCCTAGGTACAATGCAAGTGAGTTCCCAATCTCAACAGTTTCCAGGCACGGCTTTTGGGGCACACGGTATCCCTTGAGCACGGCAAGCCTGAGTGCTCAGCACCAGCTGCACTTGGGCAAAGTGCGTGCAGGTGGTCAAAGGAAGATCAGAACTTTGCTATGAGCCAATGGGCTCGCGGGGGATTAAACAGACCCCGCACATCCGAGTGAGAAAGAGGAAAAAAGGGAGAGCGAGCAGGGAAGCAGAAAAAAGATGATAGGGGGAGAGATGAGGGAAAAAACAAAATGGTCCTTGTGAGACTGCCTTATTTCCCCGAGCACCCCTCCTTCCCTTTATCTCCTTCTTGCATGTCTTGGTCGTCCCTCCTTCTACTTGCTTTAACGCAGTAGCTTCCGTCCTCCTCCTTCCTCGCTGCCCCGCCACTCGCTCCACATCACCGCGTGTGAGAGATTCTTACTTGCCGCTCTGCTTGCATTGCTGTATTCCGCAAGTACGCATGCTCTCAATCTGTCTGATCCATGCCACGTGTACCACGCATGCTGATCTCTCGAACTGATCTGATCTTTTGGGTGACGTGGCCTCTCTCTTATAATGGAGAGGCCAAGTGATCGGGGCTGAGTGCTGCAGTCCCAAGGTCGAGGCCGTGGTCTAACTCCAGACCGGGTCTGTGCTAAAAATAGCAGCAGTCCCGACCTCGGGATATGAACAGTCAGTCCTATTTTTAGAACGGGACTAGCGCAGGCCCAGTCCCCGGTAGATGAACAGTTAGTCCCACGCTAAAAATAGCGTGGGGCTGTGCTATTTTTAGAACGGGACTGGCCCAGGCCCAGTTCCCGAGAGATGAACAGTCAATCCCGCGCTAAAAATAGCGTGGGGCTGTGCTATTTTTTGAACGGGAATGGCGCATGCCCGACTTTGGGAAACGAACAGTCAGTCCCGAGCTAAAAATAGTACATGACCCTATTTTAATTATTTGGGCCTGGCTGCTCATCTTTATGGCTACTTAGGGCTGTTCTTTTCCTGGCCGGGCTACGCGGCCCTGTCGGTCCGGTCCCAACCGGTCAAACTTGAATATCTCGCTGACCCTTGGTCCGTTTCAAGTGTCGTTTGGACCGGACCCCATTAATTGATTCATTGCAGTCGCATCGGTCCAGTCCAATGGGGACGATTAGGCCTCCAGAGCATCGTACCGTCGTGCCGCTCTTCCCTCGGCTTCGGCCCAGGGGAAGTCTAACCGAAGTACTAGGGTCCATGACTACGGTACACAATTTCTGACGCAGCGCGGAAGTTGACCGCGGCGAGTCAATTTCCGCTGCTGCGTCGCAACATCTTCCGACAATGCGTGGAATCGCTCACGCCCTTTCCGCCTTCTACCCCATCCTCATCGTTCGTCGTCATGTCCTCCATATTGCGAGAACGTGGAGACCCCCATGCATTTCCCCCATTCCCGTCATCCCCTGTGACCCCTCCCTGTGGTGTTGTTGTACAGTGTGCATCACCTTTGCTAGTGCATGTGGGCGGATGCAACGACATCCCCGTGACGCCCATCCCAGCAGTGGACTCTGACACCATCTCCGATGTGCCTGCCAGCGCCGCACCTGTCGCGAGGAGACTCCCGTATGTGGCGCCCGCATCCACCGGCTTGTCGAGTGACACTTTTTCACCTTGTGATGTATCCCCCGTTGCGACAGAGATGGCTCCGATGGTGTTTTTGCCTGAGGGCGTGTTCCCCGCATCTGGCAACGGAGGCTTCACGCCCAACATCGTCCCACCATCTTCCCTTTGTTCACCCATCGTGTTCCCTGTGGCCGTCTCGGGCACAGGGGCGACATCTTCTCGGGAGTCCACGTCCATGCTCTCGAGCGCAGCGGCGCGCTCAACCTTTCAGTCAATCTTGCCATACAAGGGGCTCGACTGCAGCTCGTAAAACTTGTGTGAGTACTCTAACTGCCGAGTAGCTCCCAAGGCGTCGAACAATTGTTTCGCCTTTGCCGCGATGGATGTTTCACTCTCCCCGGGGTTCTCTTTCTGACAGCGGTATAGTATTGATTGTTCCGTCGTCTTCAGCCAGCTGTCCTTTCCCATGCGGGGAAACGGTCTCCAACCCTTCGAGACATACTTCACCGTCATTTTCCACTCCCCGCCTTGGATACATGGCTCGAAATGTCGTCATGCCAAATGATATCATGGCCCCACTTGTCCTCACTAGTGCAGGCGTATTTGTCATCCAAGAAATACACATTATTTGGATCCGCACAAAATCTGAGAGGAATCGGATCGTCTGGCGCGAACTTCGTTGGCTGAGCAGGAATATCAAGGTCATCGTCTTCGTTGTCTTCCACAGGCGTACATACAACCCGGTTCACACCCGAGGCCACACTATTCGCGGGTGGCAGGTTCGAGCATCCCTCTGATTGACCCGGTCCATATCCCTTGAAGCTGTGCTCCATGGCAGCGGACTTCCCACACCACCCGGTTGCATTGGTGTCCTTTTCAATCTCGAGGTTGAAGTCCGACGAGTCTTCCTCTCTGTCAACGGGGTTAAAGCCTTCACCCGATTTAGCAAGGTCAGCATAGTCCTTAAACGTTAGTTTATCTTTGTGAAGATCAAACCTCAAGAGCTCGCATCGAGCAACGAATGTCTCGAAGGCGCCAGTTAGAGCACCGTGATAATGTTTGAGGGTCTCGGTCACCTTGGCTTTCCAATATATGTATCCCCCATCAAGGCGTCCATCCGGCGCATCGCGGAACAGGTATTCCCACACCTTCAGTCTCTTCGGTCCCAACTTGTGGTACATATCCCTGTTAGTGCGATGTGTGGCATGCGGCTTCTCGATGTGGCACTCAAATCTCCCATCCTTAACAAGTATGTCGACGAACTTTATCAAGTATGCAATGTCCTTGGCCAACTCGTTACAGCCAATGACATTATTACCTGCAAGCAAAAACTTCCATACAAGACCCGCGTGCGCCCTACCCAGCAAAAGCACACCTTCCACCTCTCCTACGAATGAACTGCACAACTTCCGCAACTTGCCAGGTTCTCGCTCCCAAATTGAATATGCGGCACTTTCGTCGCCTTCGACGCCACCATGTTTTCCGAGGCACTTCCCGAACTTTTCCTCCACAACATGCACTTCGGTGAGATCGTTGTGAAGTCGGGGTGCGGCAGTTACTTTTTCAGATCCCCTCCTTCAGCGTGCAGCACGATCGCCATCAGGTCCCGACTGCTCGTAGCGATGTTGCCGTACCTTGCGACGTCGCTCGGCGGCCTGTCCATGCGTTTCCATGACCCGGGGATGAGCTCGATGTCCTCCAAACGGTACAATTGACGCAAGACATCACTTTGCACATTATGCGGTGCAAAGAAGAAGAGGACCCAATTTGGACCACAACACTTCGCCATCATTGCGTACAGTGCATCGAAGTCCTGCGAGGTCCACGCGCTGCTGAAATTCATGGCCGAGATGTCCACGATGGCGGCCCTGCATGCCATTTTTTGTGCGGCTGCAACGATGTCGACGGGCGCCGCCATAACCTCCTTTGACCCCATGCATACAGGAAGCAATGCAGTCTGTCTGCTGAGTTTGTCCCACACAAGATGGCGTGCACTGGAGGCGATCCGTTTCACCTCCGCTCGAAGCATATCGAGCTTATCGATCGCGGTGTATATTAAGAGCTTGAAGTGAAACGGAGCCTCCTTGTACCTCACTTTTGTAGGCCCGAAGCCCGCACCTTGCCTCGCCTCCTCCACTCCTCCAAGTCGCCGAGGGATCATCTTCACTAAGTTGCTATGCAGCTTCTCCTGTTGCTTCTCCCATTCATCTGCGCATAACCCGTTTGAAGCATACCTCTCTTCTAGGTCCTTGTACAACATGAAAAAGTCGTCGTTCCATTCGTCCCCTGCCCTTCCGTTGGCGCGAAACACGACGTAGTTGAACATGCGGACCATATATCTCTCCTTGCGCATAATGTCGAGGAGGCACTCTGTGTTTACCCTCGGAGGCGTGACTCTCTTTTTTGTTGCCACCACTTTCCCCGACATGAGCAGGAGTAGCGCGACTTCTCTCTCGCGGCATGTCATGTCCCCGAAGTTCTTGAAGTACGTAGGACACAAATCCTTCCAGGACACGGTGGAGCCCTTGGGACCATCTCTCGCATATATGCAGTTGTACAAAGTCCGTTGTCCCTTGTTCTCGTCAGTGTACGGGTCGGGCAGGCGCCCCTCCATCCTCCCCGGCATCTCAAGTGGGATCTTGCCGTCGCCAATTGGCAGCTTACCCTCCTCGAACATCGCGAAGAACTTCTCCACCAGCGGCCAAACCGTGCGGGTGGATGTGGCGAGGTTCAGGTACCCCCGAAGTTTGTCACTCCAATCCTTGTTGTATTCGTTGTCGAGTGCCTGTTTCACGAACGCCTTGTCGCACGCCTTCCCCATGCAGGCCCTCAGGAAGTTCTGCCACGTTTTCTGATGTGCAACGGTGATGGCATCCTTCTCGATGACCTTAGCTTTGGGTGTCTCGATCTTGTTGTTGTCGATCCACCATTGCCGCATATCACGCACAACGTTCTGGAAGGATAACATCATGGCGCGATTCTCTCGTGTGTTGTCGAAGAGGGAGACATTGAAGTACCCCCGTGTGTGGTCATCATCGAAAAAGACGACTCGCACTTTAGAGTACGTGCGGAGGCCGTAGATATTGACCGCGGAGGAGTCCTTTGCAACCAACCGTTTCATGGCCTCGGCAGTATGCTGACCGCAGACAGCGTACCATTCGAACTCTGCAGAACCTCTTTGGAAGAACTCGTCTGGCGTGATTCGCCTTCCCTTCCCGCCGATGATGACGGTGGGGTCAACCGGTGCAAGAACGAGCTCAGGTCTATCCCACACCCCCGGGTCAGTACTGATGGAACTTTCTATGACACTCTCGATGCCTCTCACAATGTTCTCAGACAATGAACGGTGGTTAAAAAGGATCTTCCCACTTGGAATGGGTTTAATCTTATTAACGTCGACGTTAACAACTTGGACGTCTTGCCTGGCGAAGCCGTGTTCGTCGTATTCGAGGAAGAACCATCGTGTTGTGTCCACGGGCGTGGCGTGCTGAACCAGCTCTTCAATGTCTTCGGGCATGCGAGGCCCCACCCCCTCGCCCTCATCCCCCGAGTCCCGCAGCTCAGGTGCCCTTGACCTCTACGAGCCTTTCCTAACGCCGCCGCGACCGCCCCCACGACTGCCACTTCGCCCCCCCCCACCAATTTTCCGAGGAGCCCTCGCTTCCTGTGATGCCGTCAACGCTCCGCGAGCTTCGTTGACGACGTCGGCTCTCGCCTGTTTTGTTTGACTCGCAGGGGAGGTCGACGCCTCTCCCCTCTTTCGCTTTCCCCGTGAGCCAGGTTCGTCTCTCTCATCCTTCGTCTGGTCATAGGACTGCGACATTCCGCGGGAGGCTGCAGGCTGGCCACCAGCATCGACCTCGTCACCGACGCGGCAGGCGTTGTCCTCACTGCGCCCCCGCGATTCGTTTTGGTGGCGACGGTGAAATTGGGATGAGCGATTGTCTTCGACTTCCTCACCATCATCGTCTCTCTCCTCGTCCATGCCATCGTCCTCACCTTCACCATCTCCTTCATTACCGTCGTCCCCCTCACCACCGCCTTCCTCCTCCTCACCACCGCCCTCCCCCTCCTCACCACCGCCCTCCCCATCCCAACCACCGCCCTCCCCATCTTGGCCGTCACATTCCTCGTCATCGAAGGCATCTACACCTTCCCGGGAACGATGCTGGGGACCAGCCCGATAGCACACAGCTCCGTCGTCGTATTCTGTGGCCTCGCTGGACTGCTCGGCCGCATCGCGACCTTGCCGATCCGAGGGCGGAACCGGAGCGGGAAGAGCCTGAACAACCGCAGCCGACGAAGACGGGGCAGTCGCCAATTGCTTCCTCTTTCCACCCGCTCTGGCCGGCTGATCCTGGCGCCGTTTGGGCCCCGCAGCCGACTAAGACGGGGCGTCAATCGGCACAAAAACACGGTCAACTTGCTGGACAGCAGGCAGCCTCGCAAACTCTTCCCTGTATCGCATAAAGAAAGCTGCGAGTTGGTCCGTCGGGCTGTTGAATTGGACCAAAGGTCTGCTGAGCGTGAAAGCGCTGTCGACGACAGGCAGGGACCCAGTCACGCGGTAGCCATTGGTTTTGGAAAGAAACTTTTCCGAATCCAGCATTTGGAACTCCGTTCCGTTCCCGCGCACGTCAAACGCTTTCATTGACAAAGCCTTGACCCCGTATCCTTGGAAGAGTCGATGGTTAAGAGACACCTTCTTGTCTTCCTTGACCCAGTTTTTCCCCTCTTTGTCATAGACAGACGTAAGGAAAAAGGTCATGAACTTCCTGCCATCGTGGGTATACCTCCCCACTTCCGATTTCTCCACCCCTCCGCAGCAGTACCAACTCAGGCCGTTGTCATCGCTCAAGAAGACAACGGCTCCGCAACCCGGCGTATGAAGGCCACCGACCCAATCAAGAGCCCATGGTCTGTCGTGGTAGAGCTTAGACCTGCCGTATGACCGTTTTTCTGGGGCGGAGCCAGACGCTGATTTTCCTGAAGGGTCGCACAGGAAAAAAAACAACAAGAAAACAGAGCTAAGTGACACGAAGAAGCATCCATCACGGCACGGGAGTTTGGCTACCGGCCCACGCAGCTGGTCCGGCGTTCCTAAAACGCCGGACCCCACGACCGTTGTGTGAGCGGGTCTAGCGTCCCCAAAATAGCAGACCCCACCAGCGTGCCTGTCGGCACGAGGGTTGGTCGGACCCCTCCCTCGCCTGCATCCTCGACGGAACCCCGCGGCGTTTCATATTCGTCCCTCCCCCTCCCTCTAGCAGCACCGAGGGGGGTCCGGCGTTCCCGGAACGCCGGACCCACGTCGGTGCTGCGAGAGAGTAAGGGGGCCCCACAACCGTTGTGTGTGCGGGTCTGGCGTTCCCAAAATAGCAGACCCCACCAGCGTGCCTGTCGGCACGGGGGTTGGCCGGACCCCACCAGTGCC